GCATTGCTTTGTTGCGCGTCGGCTAGTGGCACTGGCTGGTGCTGGTCTTGGCGGCCACCTTCATGGGCATTGCTTTGTTGCGTGTCGACAGCTGACATTGGCTGGTGCTGGTCTTGGCGGCCACCGACATGGGCATTGCTCTGCAGCGCGTCGGCAGCTGACACAGGCTGGTACTGGTGTTGGCGTCCAGCGGGCGCTCGGGCCTGCCTATCTGCGTTGGATGGGCGGTCGATGGATGCTCGGAACGCATCCGCAGTTGCAACGAGCTGCGCCGCCCGCCCTTCCCCAAGAAAGAGTAACAACAACGTTTCCTGAGCTGTGGCTGGAATGTACCCCTCCGGGGTTGTGCACCGCTCGACCGCCCAGGTGAGGAAGACTGAAGCGCTGGCGGGCAAATAGGCCGACGCTTGCTGCAGCACGCGCGGCAGAGCCAGGGGCTGTGAGTTCACGCCCTTCTGCCACAGCCGCCGCCTGCTGCACTTCCAGCACGCGAAGGGTTGTCTCTACAGGGATAGGCGGGGCGCACTGCAAATGCTGGAGCGCCTGCCGCCATGCGACCCCAAGAAACGCGTGCGTTTCCCACTGTTGGGATGCTGCCCTGTCCAAGTTCCCTGTGGCCGCGTGGAGCAGCGGCACGAAAAGCCAGCTGTTTGCTGCTGCCGGGGCTGTGCTCGGAGGCCCCCTTGAAAGCCACGGTGTCCCACGCCTCGTGTGGACGGCTGGCAACGCAACGTGTTGTGGCTCAGGCCTTGGTTCCGGGTGCTGGCGTTGGTCCGGCGGCTGTGGGTGCAAATGCTGCTGCTGTGGCTGCGGCTGTTGCGGCCGTGGCTGCTGCCGCTGACCCGCCGGAAGCTGCGTAGGCGCAGCGCACGGATTTGCAATTGGAAGGAGCTCGGGCTGGCAAGGCAGCAGGAATGGGGGATGGCCTTGGCTGCAAACCCATCCGCGCTGAGCGGACGCCATGTCAACGGCGAGGGATCTTCGGCCATGCTCTGCACAATCGGGTGGTGCTGGGATGCCCTGCAACAAAACATTGTCCTCCGCGAGCGTGGCATTGCAACGCATACAAATCCACTCGGGGCGCCACCGATCCCCAGCGGGGTCACGAACCGGCATCCACGCCATGTGCCGCGAAGGCAATTCCACCCATGCACGGTCCGACTCCGGGAACGAGGCATCAACTAGGGCAACATGGTGACAACAAAACGCGCACACATGTTCCGGCGCTTCAGGGGAAGCCTTTCAGGGGAGGACACGGCACGGGTATGATAGGCTGGTGCTGCTTCTGGTATCACGACTCCATTTAAGATGCAAGCATTTACCAAATGTTCCTCTGCAAATCCCGACCAACCGGATCGGCAGCACGGGCATCGCAAGTTGTGCACATTCACTCGCATATGCGCAGCACACCCTAGGTGCAATGTGTGCCCGCAGGATGGCCATGCGTAACTCGCCTGCGGCCCGCTTTCTCCCGGCACTAGTTCGCACATGCATATGGGGCACGCATTGTCAGCCCCGGCTGCTGCTTCGCGCGGGACGCTGTCTGCCCGCAAAAGCCACTCGGGCGTGACTGGTGCCGGCTCCCCGGGGGTTGCAGCACCTAGGGCATCTGGCGGGGCCGGGGAAGATGCAACGGAAAGCACGGATGGCGAAGACACGGGGGACGGGTCCCGATTCGCATCCCCACGGTCCATTGCCAGGCTGCTGGGTTGACCGATTCTTTGTACTGGGCCGGTCCCCCAGCTACGTCTACGCTTTTGGTTTTTTTTTTTTTTGGTTTCTTCGGGCCTCTTGTTTTTTTTTTGTTGCCCGGCCTCCGGGGGGGAGGTCTTATTCAATTGCTGTTTTTCACCTGGACAGCATCCAGGGACGGATTATTTATACTGGGCCCGTCTCCCAGCTGTGGCCCGGCTTATTTATACTGGGCCCGATCCCCAGCTATGCGATCCGTGGCGCCCGCCGCGATAGCCTAAAAACGAAACGAGGAACCAGGGGGCAGCCCCAAAACCAGAAAGGACACAAACAGGGAAAGAACCCAAAACCAAAAGGGGGACAGGCAGCCAGCCAACAGAACTTGAGCCAAAATGGCAATGGCTCCGTGCAGGGCTTTGGAGATTCCTGCGTGGATGTCCCTTCAGGCGGCAAGGTTGAAGACTCGTCAGTGGGCAAGGCAGCTTCTGGCAAAGGCGACGAAGATCTCGAGGCCGCCCGGTCACGCAGGGCGGACAGCAGACGGCTTGGTTCTCCTCTGTCATGCTGGAGACCATGCCCATCAAGTCTGGCACTGATGAAGGCACCTGGTCCGGCATGCCGAGGGCGAGAGGGTGGGACAAGGCGGGAGCGTGGCGTGGTTGCACACTGCTAAATGGCCGCGAACAAACTGCGATGGCTGCAAATCTAGTGCACAACCAATTCTGCAAGCCCGGGGCACGTGATGACAGGGCTACTTGAAGCACGCAGCGCGAGCCTGTCAAGCACGCCAATCCAGGGCAACTGCTGATTTGGCATGAGTGTGCACACACATGCTTGACCAAGGCTGCGGCAGAATTTTGGTTCCTGAGTTGGCTGGTTGGCACGGAAGGTCCTGTGAGAATTGCGAAGTAAGGTCCACTGGTTCGTGAGCGTGGTCCCCCAAGGCTGGCAATGCGGGCACTGCAGTCTGAAGGCGCTCAATTCGAGGTCTTCAAGGCTGGATAACACTGCATTTAAAAGGCTGGTTGTTTTGGGAGCAGCGCAGGCGTGCAAAAGCAAGACTAAGGCGGCTTCAGAATGTTCATGCCAGTGTTGCTGCATTGCGAAGTTCCTGAAGTTAGGATCACTGGCAGCTGCTAGAAGGCCTCTGGCTGATTGGCGATTTATGGAGCCCGTACCCCCCCCCTCCTTTACCCCCCCCCCCCTTTAAGCTTAAAGGGCTTCTCTTGCAGGGAGGCTTAGGAAGCCTTGCGGAAGCCTTGCGGAAGGTTTGGGGAAGCCTTGGGGAAGCTTGGCCTGACATTCGCCCTGCGCATGGCGGGAACACTGACAAGAAATACCGAACCTGAATTAGGCTAAAGAAGCCTTGGGAAGCCTCACGGAAGCCTTAGGGAAGCCTTAGGGAAGCCTTAGGGAGGCCTTAGGGAGGCCTTAGGGAGGCCTTAGGGAGGCCTTAGGGAGGCCTTAGGGAGGCCTTAGGGAGGCCTTAGGGAGGCCTTAGGGAGGCCTTAGGGAGGCCTTAGGGAGGCCTTAGGGAAGCTGGAAACCTTAGAGAAGCCCTAGGGAAGCCCTAGGGAAGCCCCAGACAAAGCCGTACGGTCTCCTTGGGGAAGCATGTTTGCGGAAAGCTTAGGGGGACGCAGCACTTTCAGAAAAAACAATTCGAATCTCTTCTGATTTCCCTAGGTTGGGGGGACGCAGCAAAGTAACGCAGCTCGAATGTCCGATCAAAATCAAGGGGTCTCTTAGGTTCAGCTTAGGAAGTCTTAGGGAAAATGTTGCTATATCCACTTCCTAGCCACCCTAGGGATAGGACCTAACTACCTAAAGGGGGGGGGGGGGGTAAGGGGGGGGGGGTATGGGTAACAGTTCATTCATTAAGACATGCGGCTCTCGTTCAGAAGCAGGCCGTAGCAGGCTCCCCCCCCGCTCCAATCAAATGCGGAGGCGAACTTGGCCAGGCTGTTCACCGTAAAGGACCTGGTTCTGGTATTTGCAAGGCTATCACAAACGTGCACAGTGTCAAAAAGGCGGGGCAAAGTGCACTGAACCGCTCGTGAAGGCCAAGTGTTGTTTGACTTGTTTACGCGGGCGATGATGAAGGGTTCCAAGTAAAGGCGAAGGTAGTTCATTAGGGCAATCTTACGTTGCGCTTAGCGAAGAAAAAAGTGTCTGCAATAGGACTGTAATCCATTGCTCAATCAGTTCAGGGCAGGGTTGAACGTTTTTTTTGTTTGTTGTTTTTTTTGAACGTCTGTAGGCGATGGCGCCATCACAAGGTATTTGAGCGAAAGGGCTATGGTGTCCATGCAAGACTGTGGTGAGTGCAAGGGCGAGGTTGTTGCTGGGGCTCTGACCGGTGCTGCAGTGACCTGGCGGGGGCATCTCCACGTTGGTAGCTTGAAGATTATCAAGAATGCGCGTCATGTCCGTGCGGCTGACACGCAGTTGTTTTAGTGCAATGTGCAGTGCCCCATCGTATGCGAAGGACCACGAGTGCTGTACAAGCTCCCCAAGGCACGACAAGGCACGGATGCCTTCGATCAGGGTCAATGCAATAAGGCATACGGCAATGACGTTGCATAAGAACTTAATGCGGAGAAGGACCGTGTAGAATTCATCCATCATGACCTCAAGTGGTGTGGATGGCGTCCAAGGTGTCCTCACACTCCATGGCACTGAAGGCAAGGCGTTGGGTCGGAGTGTGAATGAGCACTGTGGCATTGATGCAAGGCTAAAACTCCGACCAAATGCCAAGTGTGAATGCAAAGCGTGTCACTGGGCGCCTGATGCAAATTGAGATCAGTGATGCAGGCCCGCTTCGTCTGAATGCAGGCCTGGCGCTTTGTGGCTGGTGAACAAGCGGTGTGCCCTATGGTGCAATGCAGTATATTGCGTGTGTTGCCTGATTGCAAGGCAGTGCGAGTTGTGGAGGTCCCGGGGGATCCTTCAGCTTGCCAAGACACGCGGCGTCGTGGCTGCAACCCCGGAGGGATGCGATTCCAGAGCGGACTCAAGAATGCATGACTGAGGTCATGACTGATGTGCCTGAATCACAGGGCTTGTGAAGGTCCCGGAGGAGCCTTAGCGGCGTCATGGCTGCAACCCCGGAGGGATGCGATTCAAGAGCGGACTCAAGAAGGCATGACTGAGGTCATGACTGATGTGCCTGAATCACAGGGCTTGCGAAGGTCCCGGAGGAGCCTTACTTGCCAAGGCACGCCGTGTCAAGGCAGCAACCCCGGAGGGATGCGATTCAAGAGCGGACTCAAGAATGCATGACTGAGGTCATGACTGATGTGCCTGAATCACAGGGCTTGTACCTGACACGCGGCGTCGGTAAATGCAGCGACCCAGAGGGGAAGTGCGGTTCTGTTTAGGGCTGGGCCCTGACAGCAAGGCATAGCGCCTTGTGAAGTCCCGGAGGAGCCTTAATTGGCCAAGACACTTGGCATCAAGGCAGCAACCCCGGGGGGATGCGATTCAAGAGCGGACTCGAGAATCAATGGCTAAGGCCGTAGCTGAAGGCAAGGCACCCAAAGCAATAGGCTTGAAAAGGCTCACAAATGCTGATGCGGCGGGTGAAATACAGCTGTTGCAAATCGAGCGCACTAATGCAAGGTGCACATGGGCTCAAGCGCTCCAAAAGCATTGTCAAAGTTTTTTACATTAGCCAGCTGCAAGGAAGGCAAGGCTGTCACAAGGCATGGCGGTTGCATGCACCAAAGGCTGACACAATTGTCACAGGGCTGAACGGCGAAGGCAGTTGAATCACGCTGTGCCAGGTGGTGGCAGTGCCGATGGTGAAAAACCTTTCGTTTGGGCAGAATGTGAACAGGCCCAGGGCGTGGCAGTGGCTGAAAGCCCGACTGCCAAAGCAAAGCTTTGCGGCGCTGGTGCAACAAGCACCAAACTGCAAGGCAAGTGGTGCCGGACACGAAGGCTGTGTAAATGGCGAGGCACACTCCGAAGCACAGCAAGGTGTCCATGGCGGCGTTCAAGCGTTTCAGGTTTCAAATGAAACAGCAAGTTTGGGTCAAGGCTAGGAGCAAAATGGCCACCGCGTAGGTAGATTCACAACATGCCCTAAACACAAGGGGAAAAAAACCCTAAGCGAGTGGCCGAGTGCTGCACGTGCTGCGGCAGCCGCCGCAAAGCAAGCTGGCTGTGGGTCGGGGCTGTCGAGGTGGTCAAGAAACTCTTGCGCAACACGAGGCAAGCGGCGACTCAAAACAGCCAAGCTGTCAGCCCAGGAAGCCCAAAAAGCCGGCACGGAATTGCGAACAGCAGAGGCAAGGCCAAGGCAAGGCCAAGGCCGCCAAGGGACAACTGGGCAACGTCACGGGCATGTCGCGGCAGGTCGCCTGTGCCAAGCAAGGTAGCAAGAACAAACAACACGGCTGAATCATGGTCTTGCGCATACTCAGCGGTGGTCGCCGGGGCGAGCATGCGAAGCAAATAGTTGCAACGCGGGACTGCAGCAAAAGAGAAGGAGCAACCAAGAAGCCTGCAAATCACCTAGTGCCGGCAAACGCTCCAGCAACCGGTCATGCCCCGCACGGGACTGGCGAAGCTGGGAAGGCCGCCGATCCGACAGGGACACCGAGCACTGTGAGCCCTTGTTCTTCAACTGGCCGGCCGCCGGCACCAACCCAACAGGAGGCCTCCGGCGCACCTGGCTGGACGAGGGCGGGTGGCACGCGTCCGGACAAGTTCCAACTGTTAAACCCACTCGGCAGTGCGCCCAAGAGCTCATCTGCAAGGTTCTGGTGAGCAAGGCCCACTCGGTCCGGCCGGGCAATGGTGAACACATCGGATGGCTCCAAAAAAAACATGCGCACAAGCCCCCGGGACACGCAGAAGCCCTTGCAGCATCGCTTGGCGGCTCATGGTGTCAAACGCACCGACCCCATCAACGGAGACAAGAGCGCTTTCAGGATCAAGCTCGAGGGCGGCCGTCAGCAAACGAACACTCTCCGCACCAGATCGCGTGGACAAAGCAAACTGAAAGGGAGAGCATGCTTCCTGGAAGGCCTCCGCCTTCCCCTGGGCAAAGCACCGCGCAACCAAACGGGTGAAGTCGCCGATCACGATGCTGGACCTTGAGCCGGGGGAGGGCGTGAACATCGCGGCGCTTGGCCGGCGGCCCCGACACGCCGTAACGCATCGACTTCCTGAGGCGGCACTGGTTGGCCGTCAAGGCGGGACGCGACTTGCAGGCCTTGGAGGACACCCGCCAAGGAACCGGCGAAGACCGACGAAGCAAGTCCACATAATGGGGCCAAAAACCGGCGAAGCGAGCGACGACTTTCTGCCTCTGGACTTAAGGTGTTGCACCCGGCCAAAAGCAAAGGGACGAACAGCCAGCTGTTGGCGACCCAACACGCAGCAGGGGCGACGGCGGCCGCAGAACGTAACCGAGACCACCAAGCCGAAGAGGCAACCTTGCAACGCCCTGGGCAGCCTTTGCCCGACTGTGCTGCTCTCGCTGCTGGACTTGTGCAGCCGGAGCCCCGTCGCACGGTCCCTCCCCCAAGGCCGGCGCAGCCCTCTCCGGGCGTCCCAGGCGGCGCATCCCAGGCGGGCCCCCTCTTGTCGGACCGGGCTGCCTTCGCGCCTACGGAGTTGGGGTCGGAGCCTGGCGTTGCACGCCAGCCTTGATCCCTGCTTGTGACTTGGGCCGCGCAGCACGTCCAAGGGACCAGTCGGTACGCCCAGGAAGCCCTGCTCCATGCCTTCCTTGGTGAGAGCCTTGCTTCCCAGCTCAGTGCGCTGACGAGGACCGGGCCTCGAGGACTCCAACAGGCCCCGTGTGCGCAGCCACCAGTGGTCATGCCCCCCTTGCCCAAGCACCCGCCCTGGACTTTCTAGGCACTACTAGTGTATCCTGCCCCTGCTCCGGCTGCGCAAGGTCAATCCCCAACTCCTGCTGTCCCCGCTCCGGTGCCCACACCCGCCGATGGCGAGGGGCGTGCCAGCCCCCTGCCCACACACGTCCCTGCCCTTGGGCTTGCCATAGCGCACCCCACGGCGGCGCCTGCGGCTTCTCCCACGCACGGTGCCTGGCCAACGCCTGCGGGGGCAACGGGCCTGCCTGAAGCAAGGTGGACAAGCAGTCCGCAACAGCGAGGTCATGAGCAGCCGCGAACTCTGCCGTGGACTCAGGCGGGAGCAAACGCAGGACATGGTTGCACCGAGGAGTGCAGCAGAACAGCAAAAGCGGCCAAGAAGCCTGCACGTCCTCCAAGGTGGGAAGCCGAGCGAGGAGCGCGCGTTGGCTCGCAGCGAGAGCGCCGAGCTGAGCTGCGACAAACTGGGAGGGAGTAAAGGGCCGGCATCAAAGATCTCCCTGCTCTCCCCCCTCCGCCTGAGAAATGATATTGGCTGTGCCTTCAGAGTCATGCCACTCGAACTCAGACGCAGAGGCGTAGAACAAACGGACGAACGGGAGACAGCCCCGGGAACGGCGCGCAGAGCCTCCAGCATGGCCCGCCGTGACACGTTGTTGAAGGCACCAACCCCATCCACAAAAAGCACTGTAGCCTCAGGACCAAGCTCAACGGCCGACGCCAAGGCATGGACGAGCGAGTCCGCCCCAGCCCGGCTGGAGAGGGTAAACTGGTGCGGGCGGCACGCCTCAAGAAAAACGGGGGCGCGTTGCTGAGCCAAGGTCCGAGCGACCAGCCGCCGGAAGAAGTCACTGACGACAACGCCCCGGACACGGCCACACGGCTTCTGCAGAGCGACCAGGCGACCCAAACCAAGGGCAGACATGCACGGGCCAGCAACTGGGCGACCTTCCAAAACCGATCCGAGTCAACCTCACTATCCAGCATAAGCCGTGCTGATTCGGCGGTGGGGCCGGAAGGTCCTGGGGCGGCGCCCTTCTTTGCCCAGCGCAAGTTGGCTAGACACAGGGCGGCGGGCTCAGCAGGCTGGAAAGACAGGACCTCGGACGGCAAAGCGGGGTACGGGGCCGCAGGTCGCCGGGCTGGGTCCCGAAGCTCAGCCAGGGTGGCCTCGTTGCCAGGCGCCAAGGGGGCTGCGGTCAAGGCCTGGCGGGCCGAAGGCAGCTCGCCCAGGTGCAAGGCGGCGCCGGCGGGGGCAGATGCTAATTGCAGCTCAGGGAGTGTTCGCTGCGAGCCTCTGCCAACTGCCCACTGACGATAGCGACGCGGACGCCCGTTGGGTGCCGCGGGCGTAGGGTTCAGTCGTGCGTTTCACTTAATCTCACCGAGGCGCGACGGAAAAAGGTCCGTGATTAAAAAATAATCATAGTATATATATATATATATATATTCCGCGACGCTATTCCCAAGGCAACATGAAAGGCTGATTTTAAGCATCGCGCAGCAGCCTACTTCGGAGATGACGTGAAGCTCAAAACTAGGACGCGTAAATGGTTTGCTCCCTTCGGTCTCGAGTCTTGTCTCACCTCACTCCTTTCCTCCCCTATGGTCTCGAGTCTTGTCTCACCTCACTCCTTGAAAGTTAGCGCTTTGGGTTTGAGAAAGCCTTGCCTGACGGCTCCTGCCACTGCGCACTTTCTGCGATCCACGCACGTACCTCTGCTACTTCGTGTTTCCACAACCTCGAAGGTCAGTGGCGCCGCCTGCTGGCTGACTGTCATGCAGCCACTGCGCTTCAGCTTCGGGCGTTTTTGTCGCGCGTTCCTCGCTCCGCGCAAAGGGGTTTGCTGCGCGCAAATGAGTTTGCGCAAGAAACCCTGCTCACTCAAAGCGCGCACCACCTGCCGGCCCACGCGGTTTCGCATGCCTCGCTCGGCTCTTCGCCCGCCGCATTTCCCCAGTGCCGCGCTCAAAGCGGCGAAGATTGCGCCAGTTTGCTTGGGCGAGCAAACCACAAGCGGCTCCACGCGTTCGCGCGGTTGCGGGGCGCTACGCCGGCGCAGAAACATCCGGGGAGCCAAGAAGAACAAATTTTAGGCTGCACTCGAATCCGGGTGCTCCTGTACATGCGCAAGCCTGGCCGTCATCGCATTCTTGCGGCGTTGCCGCGGCACCGCAAGCTGGCATCGGCTCCAACAAAGTTCTGCTTCCTACTGGTCGCGCCCGCTCGCGCGGCCATCATCTTGCAGTAGGCGCGCAAGGAGCATGGAGGACGATGAGAATTGCAGCCCGCCTGTGCCCCTTGAGCGCCGCCAAGGCGTTCCTGCAGCTGTTCGGTGGTGCGAGGTGGGGGCTGCGAAGGTGCGCCAAACGTCTCAGTGAAGGCCGAGCCTGTCGTGAATCCGCCACTGTGCTGCAGCAGTTGCGCGGCCGCGTCCA